AGCATCAGGGACCGCGGTTCAATCCCCCAGCACCACATGCCAGCCAGCCCTGCCCCCTGGTGGGCTGAGCTGGCCTCTCTCTCTCTCTCTCTCTCTCTCTCTCTCTCTCTCTCTCTCTCTCAAATAAATAAATAAAAAAAATTAAAAAAAAAAGAAAAGGGCAAATCAGGTAGGATACATCCCAACGCTCAAATACAGAGAACTCTGCAACATACATAACTTAAGATCATAAAGCATCAGAGGTTCTTAATGAGGGCCAAACCTTGGACCAAGAAGCAGGTCCTATATACGTAGATTGGTTAAGGAAAACTGAGATAGATTCTCATGGTGAGAAACAGATATCTGATTTTTAAAAGATATCAAACCAGACACAAAATAAAGTATAAGACTACCTGCCACATCTCCTCTTACCCTTCACAAACCAAAACTTGTTTACTACTACCCTATGGCTGACGTAGGTCAGGGTAGAGATGGATTGTTTGATGTCTACTCCTGAGTACTTCCAAGTCTGGGAAGATTTTCACTATACAGGAGAAGAAGACTGCAACATGTTAACTGCTGAGACTTTATGAGCTTCGCCTTCACTGGCAGGCAGGAGAAGAGTTGAAAGAACAAAGCTCTTTTGCTGGAGGAGTAATAAGAGGGAGGGAGGTGTCCACATGGGGCCTCCCTACCCAACCCAGGGCCAACCCCAAGAATTCTCCTCAACCTTTATCTCCCATTGTGCTGGAGTTGAAATTGACTAATGAAAGCTGAGAGAAATGAATCGATTTAACTTTCCCTAGGATTATTTATTTGATTGTTTGTTTAAAAGAAGAAAGGATAATAGGTTAACTACATGCATCAGAACATTTTCTGTGGGTATGAGAGTGCCCACATGTCCACAGCGACAGGGAGACTGAGCTCCCCAAACCATAGTTGTTCCTTTTCAGAAGTAAATTAAAGGTGCTCCCCTGGGCTGCACACTAAATTCCCTAATGTATTGCTTAAGCCACAGCTTCATTTCCTGCCGTCCACATCTGCATTAGTAGTTTTATGTGGCTGTGAGATGGAAAGGAATACAAAGCTAGTTAGTTAATCACATCTGTCTCCCGCTGTGAGCATTAAAACTTGGGATTCCTGATGGCCCCATTCGCAGATAGGTTTTCAGAGGGAGTGGAAGGGGTCCCAACTGATGTTTTTATTATCTACAGTGGACCCAGAGCTGCCTTCCTGACTCAAACAAATTTCTTTTGACAAAATCACCCAGGGCCTTCCTAATTCTGCATGATACTTCCATGGTTTCAGAAGACCAGAGCTTCATATTGTATAACAACATGTCACTGAAAGATTTCTGTTCATCAACTAGAAATTCCAGCCAGGAATCTGATTTTCCTCTTATCATGAATTGAATCTAGAGAGAAGCAGAGTCAGACACAGAGAAACTAAAGGAGTTTCTGTGTTGCATTCAGAACCTTGCTTTTAGCCGATTCTCAGGCGCCTTGCTTTCTCACCTGAAATGCCTGCTGATATGAACTACTCTGTCCATCTATGTTAGATCTACTGAAGCTGCTTGCATGTGGCTGATGACTTAAGCCAATGACAAAGGTAAAATAAATCATTCTGGCAAGAGTAGAAAGGCAGGCTGGTAAACAGAAAGCACTGATATAACCAGTGCAGATATTTCCTCCTTCCTATCTGCACTGGGAGCTACAAAACAAGCCTTAAAGGTTAGATCGAGAAGGCAGTGTTTGGCAAAGGGAAGGAGGTACACAGGTAGGTCACCCTCAGCTGGCCTGGGCCTCTCTCATTGGATGGTCGAGTGGACCGCTACCGAGCTCAAGCATTCTTTCCAACATGTTTATTATTTTGGATACACAATAGGCCTTAAGACCTTGGAACTCTGGGTAAGACTAGGATGAATTGTGTCACTAGAGCCAAATCCAGTGACCTTCATCCACCACCATTCTTCTGTTAGCTCACATTATTATTCCACTGTGGCAGAACCATGAATGGCAATGGTTCAAAGCAACTGACACTGTCATCTTATCCAACTAGAGTAATGCAAGCCAACAGACATAAAATGCAAGCCAGTCTAGTATTCACATTTTGAATATAAAAGGGAACAGATGGGGAATTTAATAATTATTTTACTTACACCAGTAAATCCAAAATATTATCATTTGAACATACAATCAATATAAAAATAATAAATGAACTAATTCACATTCACATAAGGCTCTCAGTGTTATGGAATGAATTTGCCTCCAGTCCCTCTATTCATATGTTGAAGATCAAAAGCCCAGTGCAATGGTATTTGGAAGTAGGGTCTTTAGGACGTCATTCATTTTCAGTGAGGTCATGAGAGTAAGGGTAGGGATCTCATGATATGATTATTTCTATTTTTATTTGATTGATTGATACAAGGTCATGCTATGCAGATTAGACTCATAGTGATCCTCCTGTCTCAGCCTCCCCAGCCCTGGGATTATAGGCATGCCCCACCACTCCTGGTTTCATTGGGTGGCACAGCACACCCATGGTTCCAACACTGGCATCTGGTACTGGGGACTGAACCCAGGTCCTTGTGCTTGTCAGGCTGGGGCTTGACCGAGCTATCTCCCCAGGCTCCAGGATGGATTAATGTCTTTATTAGATGAGTAAGAAGGGTGGGTTAGAGAGCTCAGCGGATTAAAGCACCAGTTTAGGTGGATACAGGGGCTGTGGTTTGATCCCTGGGCCTGCTGTGCCGGCCTCGCCCCCGGGGTGGGCTGAGCCGCGATTGAGACTGGGCATGGTGGCATGTGCCTTAATCTTAGCACTTGGGAGGCTGAAAACAGAAGAATCACGAGTCCAATCTATGTAGTGAGACCCTGTACTAAATAAAAAAAAATAAAAAGAAAGAAAGAAAGAAGAAAGAAAAAAAGAAAGAAAGAAAGAAGAAAGAAAGAAAAAAAGAGAGAGAGGGGCTGGTGAGATGGCTCAGTGGTCTAAAGCACCTACTTAAAACAAGCGCAGCAAAGCACAGGGACCATGGTTCAATCCCCCAGCACCACATGCCAGCCAGCCCCGCCCCCTGGTGGGCTGAGCTGGCCACACACACACACACACACACTAAAAAAATAATAATAATAATAATAATAAAATTAAAAAAAAGAGAGAGAGAGAGAGAAAGAAAACCTTTGGTATAGAAGAGTAAGGCCGGCAAGAGCTCTCACTCTGGGAGAGCGCAATGAGAAGGTGGTTGTCTGTGAGCCGAGGAGAAGCCCTCCGTGCACACACACCGAACACGTCATCTTGGCTTTGAAACCGCAGACCTGTGAGAAGTAACTGCCTGCTATGTAAGCTGCGCTGGGTACATTATGTGGTTACTGACCCTTGTGTTGATCTATGCTTGCTTTGTACTCGTCGTGTTTCGAGTGCTTGCCAGTCACGTTCAGCCGGTGGCTACTCTGCTGTAGCAGGGCGCTAACCTAACTGCAAGCCCAAGGTGACTGAGAGAATGGTCACAGGAGTTTGAAAGGGATTATTTAAACTCACTTTTAGGTTCCCACATTTCATACCAAAAAGTAAAAGACATTTTCTCCTAAGTTTTTTTTTAATATGCTTTAAATAAAATTTTAAAACAGATTCCTTTTCATTTCAAAAGGGCCACTTGAAAACTCGTCTAAAAAGATGAATCATCCTTCCCAACCTTATCTCCTCTCTCAAGACTCTTAGTGGCCACCTCTTTAGGCATGAGTCTCAAGCTAATTTCTGCTTAGCCCTGGGAAAATGTCAGACTGGTGGTATTTCTATTAAGGAAATCTCATTATTCTTTTTTTTCCCCCCAGAACCAAGGATTGAACTCAGGCCCTTGCGCTTGCCAGGGAAGCACTTATTCCACTGAGCCATCTCCCTGGCCCCCGAAATCTCACTATTCTTGCTAGATCCTTTATCCAAATAGTCCTTAGTCATATACCTAAGTAATCTGCAAAATCAGACACCAAAAACATTACTAAACACATTTCATTTTTTTCTCCTTTACAAAAAATATAATTTTCCCTAAAAAATACATAAGATAGAATGTGTGTGTGAATGTGTATGAGTGAGAGAGAGAGAGAGAGACACTCTTACTATGTAGTTTCAGGATAGCCTTGAACTCACTATGTAGCCTAGATTGGCCTCAAGTTCCTGTTGATCTTCCTGTCTCAGCCTCCCAAATGCTGGGATTACATAAGCATACCCCCACACCTGATCCTTAAAAACAGAAATCTTGATATTCCATTAAAATTCAAGCAGAAACCCAAACTGAGACTCAGCTCCACAGAGGACAAAGAAAGACAGCAGCAGCGATACCCCAGGAGAAAGTGAACTGATGTGGCCCAGGGTACAGCAGGACTTTAACACAGGCTTATTCACCAGCTGAACATCTGTCTTCCTGCATTCCTCACCAGGGCTGCATTCCTCAGAGCTCACTTATCAGCCTAAATATAGGCAGGCTAAGCTGTTTGGTAGGACCTCAAAGTTGTTAAGTCCACTGCCCACTGCTGCCCGCTAAGCTGTATCTGACAGCCCTCTCATGCATTCGTATTTGCCCACATCTAACAGCATAAATCCGCACAGCGTCTCCACACTGAATTCAACCACACCTAGGCGTGGTTACTCAGTTACTCTGTTAGGATCAGTCTCATAAGCAAAATTAATCAAGTATTAGAACACTGGCTCTATTTTTATGACGCAACTTTGACTTTTAAAAGCTATTGAATCATCAAGCTGGAGAAACACTTTTTCACAGAGTTAATGCTGATGATGGATACATTGATTTAGCGTTTAGGGGTCACAGGTGGAAGCCCTCTTGTGTTTCATCTTCAAGTTCTCTCTAGTTTCTTTCCTTAAAGGTCGAAATATTAACCAGAATTTTCAAAAGAAACAGTGTCCTAGCTCTATTTACTTACCTTGCTCACTTGATTGGTTACTTTCTTGGCAAATTCTATATCTGGAGGATCAGCCAGAGGCGTGAATTGAGATTGCTGTTCAGCATGACCTTTTTTGTAGGCAACCTGACAAAATTCAAAACAAAACAAAACAAAACAGGGATATTCATAAAACACAGATAATTATACTACTCATGTTTCATTTGTTAATATTTTTTAAAGGGATGATGTTCTAATCTTTGAAGCACTCAGCATTGATATCTAGTGCTTGCTTTTAACCAACTACCTCAGCTCTCAGCCTCTTGTCTTCTATTCATACCTACTTAGCCAACCTCTAGTTTTGAATCAATTCAACCACACAGCAATGCTGAGTGCTACAGAAGATTAGAACATTATCCCTTTTAAAAATGCCACCCTAAAATCATATTTTAGGGTGCCATGTTGCCATAATCTGCCATTCTGGGTGTTAAACACTTGCTCTTACTCTGCTGGCTATTTCTATTTCTTGAGACCTCTCTCTTCTCCAGGACTTTTGACACTAGGTCTGTTTCTTTCCCTTCATTTTCATACCATGATTTGTAGTAGCAACTTGTTTTTAACCAGCTACCTCAGCTCTCAGCCTCTTGTCTTCTATTCATACCTACTTAGCCAACCTCTAGTTTTGAATCAAATCAATCACACAGCAATGCTGAGTGCTACAGAAAAAAAAGTCACATAAATGTATGAATGAGATTGTAGTAATGTGATATGTAGGGAGACGAGAGAGACATAGCAGAACAGAGGGTAGCACCTTTGAACTCTAGGATGAAATGCACATGCCTACCCAGGAGCATCTTCAGCAAACAGCAACTTGCTTGGGGCTCTGCACCCAGTACTCCATGGCTTTATGGAACCTAGTTGCTGCTTGGTCCTCAATGAAGGTTGAACACCCCTATGTGTCTCTGGTCAGCCTGAGCCCCAGTAGCCAGTCTAAACTCCCCAAGACTGTGCTTAGTTCTCCAGTCAAGCCCATCTCACTCCCAGCTTCCTCTTACACCTTTCTAACCTGGCCTTGACACTTCCACCCTCTGCACCGGCTCTGATGAGCAATACCCCTCCCGGGACATGGCTCAGGCTCTCTATACCAGTCCTTCCCATGGCCCAAGCTCTATGAGTCTATGGGTCATCCTGTCTCTTTCTCCCAGCTTCAATCCTTCCTATTTCATGAACTCCTTCCCTTCAACCTATAGAAGGCTTCTGCCACCTCAAAATGTGTACAGTACCCATGAATCACATGGCCTCTCACCTCGACTCTTTCAGATTTTTTTCCACCAATCTTAAACACTGCTTTCAACTATTCATAGATCTCAGACACAATCAGCCCTCAGTTTCCTTAGGGTATGCTGTTCCTTGCCTCCAGAGTACCCCAGCTCTCCCCTCTCCCCCCTCTGAGAACCTCTGTGCCTTCCATATCTCAGGGCATCTTGGCTTTCCTTCCTCAGCCCTCTGTGACTCCTCAGGCAGATACAGTGCCTTTCTCTCAGGGTTTGTTCAGTGTGGCCCTTCTCTCTTTTATGGAGGTCACCAGGAAACACCATTACTAATGTTTACACGCTCATTCCCTCTTGGTCTATGAGCTCTGGGGTGGCAGGGGCAAGTTCTCTCCTGTGGTGTGCAGTGTGCCTGACTCATGGGAAGGGCTAGTCACTGATTGCTAAATGGATGGCTCATGGGCTGATGCCCTAAGGGGGCATCTGAAGGGCGGGTTTACCCTCCCAGCTCATCTACCACTCAGCTGGGATACTGCTGCAGATTATTTTTTCTTCTACACAGCAGAATTCTTATTTATTAAAAAAGGAGTTAGATAATTGCATACTTTAACCAATTGTAACTAGATCCTAACCTAATAATATCCATCTAGCACATATAGCAAAAGCTTCTATGAATATCAAGTCAAGTGGAATATAAAAAATAGTTTTAAAATGTATAAATTCTATTGTTGAATTTCTTTTTAGTAAGTGAAGCCTTTATTTTAGGCTAAGGGCAAGTGGAATTTTCCATGGTTGGCTAAGTCCTTAGGGAGAAGACAACATTTAAACAGGAGAAGTGCTGATTAAGTATGACATCCTGTCAAGAAGTTTCAGAGAAGTCAGCTCCAGTCCTCATTTCTTAGGAACTTTGTTCACAATTCTGTCTAGTTAGATTCCCCCCCACCCTGCCCCAGGGACTTTCGCTAAATTGCTCAGGCTGTGCTTAAATTTATCATTCTCCTGCTTCAGCCTCCCACAGTGCTGGGATTACAGGCATGCATCACAATGCCTCGCTCTTATCTATTTAAAACTGCATTTTAAGTCAGCTTGTGGAGTATCTCAGTGTCTGCAAAGTTCTTGCCTCTGTCTTGTTTTGTTTTTTTTTTTCTTTGTTTTGTTTTGTTTCTTTGTGCAGGGTCTTACTACAGTTGGAACTTGTAGTGATCCTCCTGTTTTCTGCCTCCCTAGTGCTGGGATTATAGGGGGCATGCACCACCATGCCCAAACTCCATCACTGGCTTAGTGTGCCCCAGGGGTGGGGCTGGCATGGCATGTGGTGCCAGGGATTGAACCCTGGGCCCTGCGCTTTGCCTAAGCAAGTGTTTAGTTTGCTGAGCTATCTCGCTGGCCCATTGCCTCTATTTAGATCACAAAGAAAACATGGTAAGTAAAGAGGAAAGGAGGGAAAGAGAGAGGGGGAGGGAGTGAGACAGACTTAAATCCAAGCCCCTATCCCAAAATGCACGTGCCTACCAAAGGCATGTTCTGTGAGCAGCAGCTTGTTCAGGGCACTGTGCCCAAAAACTGTAGAAATTCATGGTGCTGACAATAGTATTAATAGCCTTGTTGGTAAACTGATACTTAGTGCATGCTGGCCTGCAATCAAAATAAAAGCCCTATCCTAACTCAAAGCAGAAGTAGGGAATACTTCACTTCATTTTTGCATATTCTCCTTTATTATACCTTCTATTGTGATAGTTTCAAAATGTAGCCATTTTCAGGTGTTGAAAGTCCATCCAGCAGAGGGCTATGAGGGTAATCCTTCCCCTCTGTTTTATGGATAGAGGGACACATCAGGAGATTAAGTGTCTTTTTGGAAACTTCCCCTAGGCTTATATGACATGGCATTTCCTGGTTCCCCGTCAGCCTCTCGGTTGTTCCCTTCTCCTTTGCCGGCAGCTTTCCAGGTGTCCTAAGGGTAGGCATCTTCCAACATCTTCCAAATGCCTGTGATTCTGACAGGCATTTAGAAAATGCCCTTGACCATGCACTCTTCTGCCTCTCCGTATATTTTGTGTCCTCAGCTACTGCTTTTAAATATGATGTTCTTCTCCTGATCTCACATCTAAGCAATAGTATTAAATTTCTAATCTCTTCACGGGATGCCTCCATCTATTCCTTCCACTATCTCAAGTCAGGTTCTTTCTCCATCACTGCATCTTTACCAGCAGAACCCTTATTCAGTCAGACAATCTGTGTATGGTCATAGATCCACCCATGACTACTTTCTCTCCTTTGTCTCACATACACATCATGACCACCCATTCATGATTATTCTCTTCAGATTCTTTCTTTCCTTTTTCCCATCATCCCTCTGACTTACTTATAGAACTGAAGTAGATTTCTGCAAATTATCACGGTTTCTAGCTTTTCCTAGTTCTGATTCACCACACTGTGCCAGGCAGAATGTCTCCAGCTTGTATTTTGAATCATATTATTTTTTCTCTCCATAATCTTGTGGTCCCCCTATTGTTTACCTATCATGTCAAAGCTATTTTGTCTGATTTTTAAGGTCCTGTTCCAAGCAGCCGCATAAGTCCCCTCCAAACAACGAACTAACATCATTCACTTATGTTGTCCCTCCATATTTCAGACTTGCTTTTCCCTGTCCCTTGTTCCCAGCACTCCCTCAGCCTGCAAGGCCTCAAACACCTTTCTTCTTTATCATGACTCCTCCCCTGCTCACTACCTCTTCTGGCCTGAGGACTCATATGCACTGCTTCTCACAGCTAGTTATTAGACTGATGAGTTGTGTTTTGATTTTAAATTTTTCTTGTTTGATTTTGTTCATCTTACAAGCTTGATTATAAATTCTCAGGGGAAATCGTGAAAACTTCTGGTAATACTTTTCTAACTTACCAGGTGTCTATTCATAATAATTTCAATAAATAACTATTGATCATTTGATGAAGACCTCAAAATAGTGCTACGAATTCATGAGACGCAGAACACAAAACCAATATTAAAGGACAAACAAGAGGTGCTCACATATTAAAATTGTACTGTGCATTAAATGACTTCAGAATTGGGCTGTGCTTTATTTCCTAGCATGACCCATGGAAGGGTTAAAGTTTATCTGTGCTACATTCTAACAGATCATAGGGAGAGTGAGATAGAAAACATGTGCACTAAATTTACAGATGACCTGAAATGAGAGGCAATAAAAATTTGACCTCAAACGTTGGAGACATAATCAAGTGAGTACTTACAGCTTCAGTTCAGGGCAAGATGAAAGCCTAAAATCCATTGGGAGTAAATTTCAGTAGGTTTTGATTGTCTTGTTATTAAGTCTGTACTGAGTATAAGTCAAAGAGCATGATGTCATAATACAGTGCTCTGCTAAAGACTAGAGCAATGATCTCTGGATTTTCAGCACCCAATAGTCAAGAAATAAGGTGTTTTGAAACAAAATCCTACACAAGGGCTCTAAACGGGGCTGTCTGATACCAGTGGTTTTATTTCAATACTGAGGACTATCAAGCTTTTCCATTTCCTCTGATACATAGTATTGTGCTCTAGGATGTTGAAATTCTGGCAATTCAGTCTACTGATTTTTGCTAACCGTGAATTATCCTCTTATTATCAGGACCAAGAACGTTTTATGGGATCACTACACAAAGACGTTCAACAAGTACGCCAGCTAAGTCTCCACACAGAAAGAAGAGGCATCACAGTTCAACCTTGATGGTTACTAGCAAAGCCAAATCCCTCAACAACACTGTTTACTTAATAAATGTGCAAAGATGGTTGTGATTCTGACAGGCATTTAGAAAATGCTATACCACTGTCGCAGAATGACTTCAGCCAGAGCCGAGGGGAAAGAGCAATACATGTGCTGGAGGAAAGAACGTTGGTCTTACAAGCACAAGTCTAGGCTCTGCCACTATCTATGTGGGCTTAGACACAGTTTCCTGACTGTAAGGAGAAAGGATTGAACTAAGTTATATCTCAAAGTATAAATTATATCTCATATAAATGTAAATAAGGTATTATAAATTACGGCTCTGGATGTGCTCTTATGCAATAATGGTAAAACAGAAGTTCAGTGAGTATCTGCAGAAGATGTTCCCAAATTTTCCTGACTCCACATGCCCAAATGGTACCAACTGCCCCTTACTTACATCACTGAGAGCTTTCTGGGCCTGGGCGACCCTCCTGAGTTCTGGGCTATCATTATATGGGTAAAACAAACTTTTGTCGGCATCCCAGTCTTCGGTGTACAGTTTCTAAATCAGAAAAAAGTGAAAAGTTATGAGAAAATGAGCTCATGCTTATATGAAGTACATTGCTCTGACCTTATTCATCATGGTACAGGAATCAAAGGCAACGTGAGAGCAAAGCTGAATGTGATGCACAGAGAATGTACCCTTTCCATCTAATCCAAGACATTCTTATCGCCAGCTTGTCCTGTGTGCCCGATTGGGGGCAGATGTGCCTGATTCTCTTTCATCCCTCCCTTCACCTTTACCTGCCTCCTGCATTTTTCTAAATGCCTGTCAAAAATCACAACCATCTTTGAAAGCTTATTAAGTAAACAGTGTGAACACAGTGTAAGGAACCAGGAAGCATAACTTCTAAAAGTGATAGCCAGGGATATCCAAAGTGTAAGCCAGAGCATACAGAAAAATCTAGAACACTACTTTGTGGACATTTGAACTGCTTCTAAGGAGCTGGGCTGCTCAGGTTCTTAAAGGACTCTCTGTTCCTCAGCCCCTCAGCTGAAGAACTGTCATTGAGAGAAGCTCAAGCTGATTCCTTAGCAAGCTCACTCCTGTGGTTCCATATGTCTTAAAGATCCTCCCAAAAAATATTAGAGATTGTCAGGAATTTATCAGTGATTGCTTTAAAGTATATGGTTGGATAACACAGGAAGCTAGCCATGGTAATAAAGCAGAAGCACTTACCTTACTGAACATGGCTGTGTTCTTAATGGCCTGGACAAGTTCAGGGGCATCAGGGGGAAGCAGGTACTTATCCTTGGTGTCTTCCCAGTTCTGCTTATATAAAACCTAGATGGGAAGAGCAAGAGACCCATGGTAGACAGAAGAACTGGAGAACAGAGGAAGAACAGTGCAAGAGGCTGCCCAAGGCTACCAGGAAAACGCTGACCATGTCAGCATCCTAAGCTACTCGACCTACACTAGTAGGCTTTTCTTGAAATTCTTTTTTTTTTTTTTTTTTTTTAACTCATTCAGGATTCTGATTCTCTATAGGTTCTTTTCAAAGTTTCCAACCAATCGCTGACTCAGCTTGGCAGCCAGATGCATCTCTTTTAACTTGCAGAGCATGTGAAAATGGCTTCTAGTTAGTTGCCTGCATTTGAAGTTTGGAAATTTCTTATAAAAATTTAGTTCCTCAGATCATGAAAAGATAAGGAGACTCCAGGGACAGTGGGATGGTGTTCGGGGCAGCAAACCTCCAGAGCTGGGTTGCAGCTGACCCGTCAGATGAGTTATATAAACTTTAATCCACTTCTCCCTTCTGTGGGCTACTTCAGCCATCTGCAGAGGCCCCCTCATGACTGTGGACACTCAGCCCCATCCATGGGACTGGTGAGCATCTGTCCATTTCTCCTTTAAGACTCAGCACAGGAAACACCATGGGATATGGACTAACCAGCAACCCAGGCACCATCTCACCTTGCTGACTTGCTGCGACACTTTCTTTGCATGTTCAATATCTTTAGCTTTTTCATCCACATGACAGATAGTTTTAGCAACATCGCCATCCATTCGATACTTAACCTGCAGAAATAATGCGAGATTAGAGTTCTTGACAAGCATGGATATGTGATTGCATTAAAGAACATCATAACAATGAAGAGTGTGAACCTAAGTCTGCACACCAAAGCAGAGCTTCTGCATTTTAGCTGGGAGGCTGTGATCTTCAAAGAGACACAGAACGCACGTATCCACCGCCATCTGCTTTCCTGGCCAATTGTCTGGCCTGGGGCTTCTCGGCCTCACCGTTCTTTGGTGAGGAGGACCGCGAATTAGTTTCCATCTCATAGTCTCCTCTTAAGCTAACTGCTAAACCAAGCCTGCTTAGGCAGGGCACAGTGGTCGGGGTTCGATCCCTGGCATGCCCTGTGTGCCATGCCCACAGGGGGCACTGAGATGGTAATTGAGACTGGGCGTGGTGGCACACACCTATAATTCCAGCACTTGGGAAACTGAAAACAGGAGGATCACTACGAGTCCAATCTGTGTAGTGAGACCCTGTAGAGCCTGTCCTAAATTCATAAAAAAATAGAAAATAGAAAAAAAAAAGAGATCTCTGAGTCCACATTTACAGCAATATAATCTTAAGTCTCTGTTTTCTTTCTCCCTTATTCATGCTACATATATTTAGAGCCCTAAGTCTCCAGGGCTAGGCATGTTTTTTTTCTTTTTTCTTTTTTTTTTTTTTTAGTACCAGAGATCGAACTCAGGATCTTGTGCTTGCCAGGCAGGCACTTATGCCTCAGCTATCTCCCTGGCAAGTCTTTTTTTTTTCTCCCCTGTGGTACCAGGGATTGAACTCAGGACCTTGTGCTTGCCAGGCAGGTGCTTATTCTACTAAGCTATCTCCCTAGCCCTAGGCATGTTTTTGAAATGTCTCTCTTCTTTATTTTAGTCCTACAACCCACCTCGCTGAGTTGATCTTGTACTTTCTTGATTCTACGAAGTTCTGGAGTATCGGTTGTGCTGGCATATGACTGTCCTTTTGCTTTCTCATAGTTCTCCTTGTATTTATTCTAAAAAGCATATCAGATATTAGCCTCAAACCCGATAAGACAACAGCAGAAATTTTAAGCAGCAGACTCATCCCAATATGATTTATCTCAATATCATTTTTAAAAATCCCCCAAATTATACCAGTTATAACAGCTTTCATTTTGTCCCAGACACTCTCAGCAAAAACTAAAATAGATCCGTTAATTGCTCTTCCTAAATACGATTGGATCCTGGAGATAATGAAATTTTTTTTTGCAGATTATTGTCTTAAAAATATCCTAAAATGATTGTCTCTTTTATGTTTCCATGCCCATAAAAAGCCTAAATTCCAATTATTTCAGAAAATACAGGAAAGAGTGAAATCTGAAAAGATTTGATTACTAATACAATGTAAAAATATTCAATTCAGAAATTATAGCTAAACCTGTGTTCTGAATAGCTGAAATGCCAGCTGAATTAATGGAAAGCCTAAATTACAGCCTATTTTGTAAAGGAATGCAATTTTATTATTTCTTCTAACTATAAAATGAATTCTTATTTAGTAATAATATATATACTTGTCACTATTAAGGCTTCAAAGAATACTCTTGAGTAGAATGATCAACAATCTAAATTATATTATTGGTTTAGTTACTAACCACTTTAAAAATATAATAGAATTTTGCCAACATTCTTTTCAAAAAATCAGAAATTCTAGGTTCATAATGCCTGAATTAACAAAGGTTTATGGCAGTATTAACAAAATACTATTATATCTTTACTGAATACTACAGTGATTTTTTAAAAGGCAAGAAAGTCTTGTTTGTTTTTTTAAAAAAGAAAAACCTGTGTTAGCTCACCAATAGTCTCCAGGAGTTGACACTTATTAACCAGTGTTAACGCACTCAATGTGCACTGGCCAGCCTTCACAGCAGAATGCTTTTAATACGCCCTTTGGTCTCACACACTCCAATGACCCCCGAGCTTCATTTCATTTATTGAATCTTTTTTTTTTTTTTTTTTTTTTTTTTTTTTCCAGAACCGGGCATTGAACTCAGGCCCTTGTGCTTGTCAGGGAAGCGCTTATTCCACTGAGCCATCTCCCCAGCCCCATTTCATTTGTTGAAGCCCTCAAAGGATTGCAGTCAAGCTGCCTAGTGAGATCTCTGTCTATCATTTAAAAAATCAACAAATTAGACCAAATTAGATCAACTGAAATGGGTCCAAATCCACTGCCAGTCAGTGTAAGTTGTGGGACCATACACAGGAATGAAAGGACCAGAGACCTTTAAGTAAAATGCTCCTCAGCCTGCACTACACATGAGAATCACCCTGGCAGCTTTTAAAAATCCTCCTGAATGGGTGTGAGCCTGGAACTAATTAAACTAGAAAGGCCTGAGCATCCATAGCATTAAAGCTCCTCGGGGATGCCCCTGTTCAGCCAGGGCTTTACAACCACATGGTTCTAGAGTATACGACCATTCTGAGTGTCAGTTTCAAATCAGTTCTTAGTCTCATCTTGATTTTCTAAACTACAAATTTTGTTTTCACTATACATGTCTTGGAGACCTTTTTATGTTTTGGTAGCTGTTCTATTTAAGAAGCTATTCCACTCAGGCATAGTTTAAATATGTGTTTTTTAGCTTCCATGAACTGATCACAGTTAAATTTATATTCATTTTTTCACTATTCTAGATTCACTGATCATGATTAAGCATCAAGAAATGTTTTAGAATTGGCCTTATGCTTATTTTGCAGAAATAATTTCAATAAGGATGCTTGCCCTGATGCGGCTACAGTATAAGTGGACTACATAAAATGATATATCAAGAGTTACAACAAAAGAGCTTATGTTTCTGCAAGATGAGTTTTTATTTCATTCAAGGTCATGAAACAAAAACACAAGGAGCACCCAGGAGAGCTTGTTAAGATCTGTAACTTCTCACTAATAAAACCAGTTTAATAAAAGTTTGAAACTTACTGGGCTAAACAGATTCTGCATCTTCTGACTGTGTTCAATGTAGGGGGTCATGAACTTGGAAGAGTCCACCTTCTTGCGGATGACCTTCTTCCTCTCTGTTGTTGGCTTTGCCGGTTCTGGCTGTGCCAGTGCTGGTGTGGAAGTTTCTGATTCGTCATAGCCGGGTATTGTCCTTGTAGTTGTAGTTTCTATGATTTTTGTTATTGTCTGAAAAGTTGACATACATTTCAACACTGTTATCAAAGTAAAGGCACTGGTACAAAAGTATTGGTGTATACTCTTCTAACTGAAAGTCAGGTTGACATTCCTGGTGTTGCTTCTGAATACCTAAACCAAGGCAAAGCAGGAAGGCACGCACTCTGTTCACATGAAGGCACTTATCATCACATAACGGAGAATGCTGCCTGCAGCACTGTCTTAAAGTTGTGTTTGGAGAAGGACACTCAAACACTTTAAGGAACTCTACAGACTCAGAAGTGAAATATTCTTAAATATTTGGAAATCTTGACTTGTCCCGATAAAATAAAAAGCAAAATGTTAAGCCAAATAAATAAATTTAAACTCGTGACTTTAATACTAACTTTTAATTGAATAAGAAGAAAATTGGTTTGTATTTCTTGTAAGCATTGCTCACTATACTGTAAGACAAAGAATAATAAACTGAAAAATGGATCAGCTGTATTAATATTACATGATTATCCTTCCCTTGGCTTAGAAAGTCAATGAGTATGAACTGGAATGACATTTACATTCAGAAATGCTTAGCTGGAAAAGAATAATGATGACGCTATACTTTGGTAATTATTTTCACAACAGACCTGCTATGTAGTAGTGGAAAATTACTGTTTCTTACAACAGGCTGTCATGAAAAACAGAAAACAAAACTAGGACTCAAAGATAGAATCAAGTCCAAGATTTCAAATAGTGTCAGAAGACAAGCACCCAAGCCATCAATCCACCTCATAATATTCTGTCATAGAAAATACCAGTTGTACAATTTTAGTGCATGTGCTGCTGATGTCAGCACTCGTCTGTACCAAAGGGAGAATCCTAGCGTCAACTGGAGAAGAGAAACATATCACAGAAATCGTACATATATGAAAATTGTCCTATCATTGTCAATTGGATGCTTCCCATACAGCATTGCTAAAGCATTGCTGACCACCAATTTACACTTAGTGATTCGTGGTTTCTTGCAGTCATAGGCTCTCTGCGTAGGCTCAGGGTTAATTAGGCAGGTTACTGTTTCTCATATTCAAAGTTGAACAGCTCCATGCAGAAAATGTAGTACCATAAGAAAGGCATCTCATCATGTGGGAATAAAGAATGTGAAGTTAAGATATGTATGGGAACAGCTCCCTTGAAGTTCATACTTGCCAAAATCTGAGTTGCCTTTCACTGATCAGGGACGAAGTCTCTGGTGGCATAGACAGTATCCTACAGATTACAACTCTGCATGATGCAATTGCTGGTCTCCATGTAATCCACGTTAGTCACCAAGGCCATTCTTTGTGTTACTGTTGCATAGATGACAGCCACCAACATCACCCTAATTAGCAACACACACATACCTCATCACATGAGCAGTGAGGGAAATCATCCCCTGCCAACTTAGATGAAGTGAATAGCAAAAGCAGTGAAATAACCTGTCAAACAGGTACTATTCACTCTTTTAATACAAGAATCTGGGCTCAGGCAGCTGGTTGATCCTCCTCCATCAGATGCTCTTTCACCACCTTTGTGGTCCTAGGAGTCTTACAGAGGAGAAGGTTCCTCCTACTCTATGAGAACACAGTTCATGCAGGTATGGACCAGACCTTACCTCTCCTGGTACCTCTTCATACACTGTCTCCTCTGTGTAGTACTGTAAACAGAACACACAGGAATCCCCATGAGAACTGGAACAGAATGTGCCTTCCCTCTGCCTCAGCTGAACCCTTGGGAGCTTTCACAGTTCAGTTGGTTTGCAGAATCTGTGGGAAGCAGGTGAGGGGGCCTTTCCTATTTGGAGACTCAGGTGCCCTTGTAAAGTTTAGGAAAGCTAAAATGAATGCCATCGGACTGGACAAAAAGACGCAGTGTGATGAGCCAGGTGGCTGAGGCTGGTTTTTCTGTGGGGGAAGCTATTTTCCTGGAATGAGTAAGGTTTTTTTTTATGGTACCCAAGATAGAATTTCCCTAGGAAAGAATACAATAGCAATATCGTGAGTGTGTGGTGTGGGCAAAAAGCAGCTATGATAAAACTCACTCTTTACTAACAATAAAACAAAACAGAATATGCAGTGTGAATATTTTTTCCTGGATTTTATTGTGGAAGTAACAAGATCCGAAGTCCTATCCACATCTCAATTATTCCTACATCCTTCTGGTTAGTAAGCAGTAAGTTTTTCGTGGAGTGACAGATGACCCCTTTTCATAGTGCAACGGTCCTAAGCAGGCTGCTAAGACAACTTGTGAAGGCCAAGGGGAGAGAGGAAATTGTGGATCCTCAACACAAGACGTGGGCAACACAGGCTGCAAGTTTGTTCCTGATGACTGTGAGGTGCCTGCAGGCTGGATCTGAAACCAAATCTACTTTTGTTCTACTTCTGACATCACTAGCAATAAATAGATGCAGATAGGAACTGGCTGACATTTTGTTTGAGATGTGTAAGAAGAGTGGAATCCTGCCCTGGCCTCAACCTGCTCTCCCAGGCAAACACAAGGGAAGGCCCAGTCAGGCCAAGGCACACAGCGAAAGGGATAAAAGATGACATAGTTGGCTCATTTTCTCAGTCAAGAAGATTCATAATATTTGATGCTTTGTTACTCTTATTTATGACACCAAAGCATGTGGGGGAGATGAGTTCCAAAATGTCCCTCAATGGCTCTCTTGGCTCCTCAACTCCCATCAAAATATTCAGCCACTGTAAGTGGGCCACTAGCTCTATTCCACTTAACACAAGCTTTATAAAACTTACCCACTGTCCCTCAGACTTGAGTCTTCTTTATTATTGTGCTATTCTTAAAATTTTAAATGCATGTTTTTTTTCTACATATGTACATATATATAGTATTAGGAACCACATGGACAAGACAGAGAACTGTTCTTTCACACTTGTGACTTCAGCACAAGAGAAATGCCACTTGGACCCTTGAAAAGCACTGTCTGATGCTAGTACTGCTGGGAGCCACTCTGTGGTCACACAAAACATGAGTGAGCTGAAAACAAATGTGAAAGTAAAGCAAATGATTCCAAGTGCTTCGGCTCCTCTTCGCTTCTGAGGATAACAGAAGCTCTTCGGAAGCCAGCCAATTTTACCTTTGTTGGGCTCTCATGATTGGCAAATACATCTTAGAAATAAGTTTATTCCCCAAAATAAATAAATAACAGGAAACATTATCCAAATGGTTGGCATTAACTTGTATGCCAAATCTCACTTTATTTTTTTTTAAATCTGTGCTGCTAATTAAACAGCACATCTTTGCCTCTTTCTTTCCAAGTTTAAGTTTAAATAGACAGTGACAGCAAAATTTCATTTCAGATGTCCAATATCCCTAGGAGATATATTTTTAAAGCTAGTTCCTGTTTTTTTGAACTCTTTCCGGACCAATTTTCTCGAATCTGCCACCCTTCCATTCCCATGATCTTTTTTGAGACCAAAGAGACTTCAGTCCAACGTTTTCTGGCAAGCAGTCTATTTGTTTAGCACCTGCTGGTCAGACCCAGAAGCAGTAATGGGAACAAAATGGTAAGGATGGGTCGCCTAAAAATAGCTCCTTCCATTTTTATGACTAGTTAAATCAATCAAGTCTAGCACTAAAGACTATTTCCAGTGACAAATGAATACAATTATATTAAGAAAGACAAGGAATATTTAAGTTGGAGGCTAAAAAAAATTTCTGATATTATTATCATCAAAAGATAATTTAATTTATTATCATCCTTAGTGTTATTTAGTGACGGCTCTGACTCTTAGGGATACACACTAGTGAAAATATTGACTGTGGAGGAGGTGACTATGACGTGTAACACAGAGAGGTTACATGCTACACTGTGTGAGATCCCACTTGGATTTATTTTTTAAATATATTCACCAATAATAAAGGTGATTTTAGCCAGGCGTGGGAGTACACACCTAGAATCCTAGCATTTGGGAGACTGAGGCAGGAGGAACCTTGTGAAGTCAAGACCAGCCTGGGCTACAAACTGAGCTCAAGTTCAGCTTGAACTGCATAGCAAAACTTTGTCTCAAAAAAGAAAAAAAAAAGATGATCTTATTTATAGAACAAAAATTTTCTGCATCCAAGTAGAGACTAGTTACCTAAAATAATTTTCCAAAGACAAATTTTAGCATTTTCATCTGGAATTCAGTTTTGAGTAGCTCTTATAACTAATTTCAGTCTTATTAAAAAGCACATATTTTCAAAACTGCCTCCAAGTTCCATGGGCCTTCAGAGATTTTCATGTCTACGTTATCATCATTAATTAGAAATCAGCAAGCACCTTCAGATTCATGGGAGTGGATTTACGTGGCTAATAGCCCCAAGCCTGGTTTTATGTCTAGAATGTGAAGGCAAGAGCTGATGAGCAAAAACCATGATGTGGCAGTACAAGATTATATAAAATATAAAATAAGGAACTAATAACTTTACAAAGTTCATCAGATGCCTACCAATAACGTGGAGGAAATGCTTCAAGCAAACTACTACGGTCTTTGCTCTTATTAAATATTTAAAAGCAAAAGCTAGTCTTGCTTCTTTGGGTAAATATAATGACATTGTGGGAAAGTGGTTCCGACTGTGACTTGTGACCTTCACAAGTGTGCGTACACGTTTCTGTGCTCATGGGCATGTGTGTACATGCATAAAGTCTCCTCTGTTCAATTATTCTGAGTATGGAGCCCACCTGCCCTACATGCACAAATGCGAGCCACGAGTAGGAGTAGCTCTCCTTCCCCTACTGTTGCAGACACTGAGAAAGAGAATTCAGTTTGCAGTTTGTCAGCACTTTGTCTCCCCTCCTCTCTCACTTTGATCATTAGTGTTGGGAGGGAGGGAATAGAGCAGTTTTAGAAGAAAAAGTAAAAGCTGCCTGTCCTTCACACTTTGATGCTTTTTTTTTTGAGTCTAAAGAAACACACAAAAATGTGAAATAGTGATATTTCCTTTCAATTCTAAACCCCACATAATTATAGTGAAAGGGAATGCAAAATACTCCTTTCTTAAGATTTAATGATAACTCTTTGTAAAGTTATAATAGACAATGTGGTTTTTTTAAGTGATTGAGTCACCTACACAGATCTGATTGTCACTACATAAAGTTCTTTACTGTGAGAGTTGATTTTTTTTTAAACTCTTACCTCCACCACCTCCTCATACTCTTCGTCATCTGCCATTGTCCTCAAGCAGTGGTGGCACCTACACACTTCATATTCCGGACAAATGAAAACGCATTAGAATCTGTCCTCAGGATACAAATGATTGTATACTAAAACAGAATTTAAAACCACTCTGGTCTGCATAATCACATATTTCTGGCCGCTAAGACAGATGTCTAAAATAGCATCCTAAATAACAGAAGACTCCAGTCTTTCTCCTGATTTCCTCAGGAGCACGTTGAATATTGTGACTTCCACAAGACCAGTTTAGTTAAAGTTATAAAAGGAAATTGAGGTGAGGCAGTGAGAGACTTTCAACTCATGGAACAGACAACTTTAATTTCCAAACACTTGGAAAGAAACATTTCAAAGCACAAGTCTTTTAGTGAAAGAGTTTTCTGTCCTGTCACCCACATTCTGAGAAAGCTCATTTAGTTTCACATACAGCCCTAGTGCACCAGTATGGCTCACAATTCACATTATGCAATATTTTTAAAAAGCATTGATAAATTTTAAAAGCAAAAATAGAAACCTCAAGGCAATGGGGTTATTCTCTTTCGGAAAACCATTGGTTTATATGGATATTTTTCTTTCCTTTTCTGTAGCTCTTGTTCAACCCTGAAAAACAGCAAAGTTTTAAAGTATTGGTTGAAGTATTTATAAGATTGTAGGTCTTAGAATAACAAATTAAAAAAAAAAAAGATTGTAGGTCTTTGGCCTAAGCTTCTAATTCAGGAACTAAAGAAAAGATCTCTCCAGCCCTTTGCAGTTTGACGCCAGGAGTAGGACGCCCCACATAGGAGGATGACAGCTAGCAGCAGCTGCCCCTCTGCCCAGAGAGGCTTGCTGTGTAAACCAATACCCCACACTGGCTGGTTTTGTTAAGCTAGAGAAACTGCCACTCCTCTGAGGCAAATGAAGCCCAGTAGAACAGGATAAATATAGGAACATGGAACATAGATCCCTTTTCATATTAATATATTTAGGAGAAAATTTGAAGTTCAAAAGTGAAAAATATGTACGTTTTTTGTACTAGGGATCAAACTCAGGACCTTGTGCTTGCCAGGCAGGCACTTATATATACTGCTGAGCTATCTCCCCGGCAAAAAAAAATACATCTTGTTACACAAAGAAAGCTAATTTGACAAAGGCATAGACTGGTTAGGGTAGGACCTCATCCCGGAAACTCTACATGTCAGATATTAACAGGAATTTTGTAGGGCACTGGGGTTAGAGACTTTGCTACCAAATTACAATCATTATTTTTCCAGTTAGGACCCCAAGGTTTGAAAATTACCTCAAGAAGTTGTGGAACATCTACTGATAGAATGCTATGGAAAAAGACACGAACTAGCCTTACCTTCAAGTTATCAAATAAATCTCCTCAGCAGCAAATCCACTCCCAACTCTCCCCTCCTGAGAACCCCAGGCAAAAGCCAGCGTGGTGCCTGCACTCAGCATTATCATGTGGCCAGAGCAGCCAATCAGACTTTGAGTTGCTCAAATTTCAGAAGCTAAATATACTGAGTGATCTTCTGAAAACCACCTGTTCATCAATTCCACTAAAGGATAAAGGGTAACAAACTGCTTGCTTAGAACAATTCAAATGGAGAGGAATTTTACCTAATTCTCAGTCTCTGAGGGTCATATTTAGGTTTCACTTTTCATTTACTACAATCTCCCTCAATATCTTCTGTTCTCTCATGGGAAGGAATTTAGAGAAAATTAGCAAGGCTGGGGGGACCTTTGGCTCTGCCCCAGTTGCTGTCCTCATACCATTTGTCCATTCTTCGTGGAGGTGAATGGACTTGTCATGGTCATGGGCACGAGGTGAACTGCAAACAGCTTACAGTTGTTGATGTAACAAACAGAATAATATTCTGGAGAACAGCAAGTTGTCCAAATACAATTTTTAAAAGACATCATGAATGAAATGCAGGTAGAATTACTGATGGGGATGCTAGACAAGGGATAGCTACAGGGTACCGCTAGGAGAACAGGCCCTTACTCTCTGTTACTGACCCAAGGAGTGTGGCTCCTCATGTTCGATGCCCTCTCCCTCCCCAGGTCTCCCCAGCTGTCAAGAAGACCGCGCCATCCCCATGTACCTGGGCTCCCGACTTCCCACTACCTTACGGCTCCTGTCTCCTAGAAGCAAAGTATGAATGCAGGCCCAAAAGTCTTTCTTGCTAACCAGCGGTACAAACATGGGAAATCAGTAAGTTACCACCGGGAAAATCCTCGTGAGAATCCAACCACACTGGCGGCTTCACCTCACACTTTGAGCCTCCTGAACTATGAAAAGAAAATTTCTGTTACCTCTGTCACTCAGTTTGTTTTACTTTATTTTATTGTATTAACTTATTTTATTTTTATATTTTAGGGAAGGGTCTACAGGGTGTTCAGGGTCTCACTACTAGGTCGGACTCGTAGTGTTCCACCTGTTTACAGCCTCCCGAGAGCTGAGATTACAGGCATGTGCTGAGTCTCAATTGCCATCTCAGCACGCCCCGGGGGCAGGACCAGCACAGCAGGCCCAGGAATTGAACCCCTGGCCCCTGCACCTGCTTGCAGGCGCTTTAATCCACTGAGCCATTTGGCTGGGCCCGTCACTCAGTTTAGAGATTTTCTATCATAATAAACTAAAACACTCTTTATACATCACTTGAAAATATTACAGCAGTCAAAGAAGAAAACACTGTGGCAGTAAAGATCAGCAGAACCCCAAGCACTCCTTTTAGTGATATAAGTAACCCCAGATCAGTCTGACAAGTGAGGAGGCCAAAATTGGGCCCAGGAGAAAACACCCTGGCTCAGATCTCTTAGGATCCCCAGCACCGCATGCTGGGTCAGCCCCATACCCAGCTAGCCACCAAAGCCAGGCATGGTGGTGCACGCCTGTAATCCAAGTGCTGAGGAGGCTGAGACAGGAGGAACACTATGAGTCTGAGCTGTAGAGAAAGATCCTGCACCAAAATCAATAAATACAAGATTTTTTTAAAGGATCAAACCCTTCTAAGAGAAAGCCTCAAGGCTCCAGCTAAATTGGATAGCTGACAGTCACCCTAATAATTTGGAAAGCACGTGAGAAGTGAGTCACAGGAAGGCTCGTCGTGTTTCATCACAGTTGTACAGGGGCAGGAGCGTCAGCAAGCAGCTTACATTTTCTATGTGATCACCCTGAAGTAAAGCACTGCCACTTACTTAGTAAAGTCTGCAGATGCCGTTCTGAAATTAGGTCCTCTACGGAAAAAAGAATGGTTTCACCTTCAGAAATAAACAGGGCTAAACTGCCACCCTGATTTACTTGTAGGATATATATATATATATATATATATATCTACTATTACTCTATTGCTAATTTTTGTATTTTATGAGAGGTTTTCCTTCTTTGTACTGGGTAGAAATTCAACATATTGTATCATATCATGAAGCTCCTGAAATCAGACAGCAATTGGTCTATGATTTTATGAATCACTAGGGGCTTTAAGACAAAACAAAGTAGGGTACAGTTAGGTGCCAACGGTAAAAACTTAGAGGAACCTTTATCCTGAATGGATTCAAGACATTTATCTGTCATGGTCATTTGGACTTCGGTGAAGAGCCAGAAGCTGCAGGGTGCCAGAGCTGGTGAATGTGGATGGAACACAGTGAAAAGACCTTCGGCGCTGCTCCAGAAAGCGGCGGGAGTGTGGGAGTGCTCGCACACGGTGCTCAGAGCACGGGGGAGTGCTTTTCCAGGAGGAACGGCGAGGTGTATTTTACTGTAATGCATTTTATTGTATTTTATTTTTTTTGGGGGGGGAAGGGTCTACAGGGTGTTCAGGGTCTCACTACTAAGTCGGACTCGTAGTGATCCACCTATTTTCAACCTCCTAAGAGCTGGGATTACAAGTGAAAGCCACCACGCCCTGTCTCAATTGCCGTTTTAGCGCGCCCCTGGGGCGGGGGGGAGCTGGTGTAGCAGGCCCAGGGCTCGAACCTTTGGCCCCTGCGCCTGCTTGCAGGTGCTTTAATCCGCAGAGCTATTTGGCTAGCCCTCATTTTAAAATTTTAAACATTCATTGTATTTTCTGATTATTCCTTTTGTGTACATCATTTAAGGATCGAATAGCTTTTCAAGCTTCTCATTCAATCTACGTTCATGCTCTTTCTCTTTTTTCTTTCTCTGAACTCATCAGTTAAACTCCTCTCGCTAATCTTATTGTTAATATCCCGTCACACGTTTAACAAAGCCTTCTGTTCCTGCTGCCTGATTTTTCAGGCTTAGGCATCCTGTGCTCCTGCCTGGAAAGGCGAGGCTTTAGTGTCTTCTACGAACCCCTGTCTCCCAGACACAGGCCCGGCCTTGCTACTTCCCCCACCCCAGTATTTCAAATGTCAATTTCTTTTATTCTGCGAACTATCTGCTTTGCATTCTCTATCCCTACATTTTTTTTAAACATCCTAAATATACTGTACTATGGATACAGCAATCTTTTGTCTCTTCTGTGTACTGTGAATATTTTCTCCAAATTGTCTGTGATGTTTTTGACCAGAGACTTGTAATTAATTTATACTCATATCTGTCCATCTGGCTTCCAATTTCGACATAATTTATTGAATAAATCGGCTTTGAAATGCCACTTCTAGTACACATTGAATTAAAATACACGCTTGCCCCTGTAGTCTCTTGTTTCTCCCTTATTTTGTCTTGCTTTTTCCATTTTCGGAGTGCTTTTTGTCTCTGACTATATTTGGTTTTGCTTTTATTGTGAAATGTAAGACACAGGAAAGTAGAGAAAACTTATCGTGCAGCTTAGCAAACACTGGGAAAGGGAGGGCCCGCATAGCCACCTTTGGAGACTGGCAACATCATCTGCCTCCTGACCTTGACAGTGATAATAGCCTTGCTTCTATTTCTGCCATAGATGTGTGCATTTCTAATTAGTGTAGCTTAATTTTGTCTGCTTTACAATGTTCTCAATTTTTATTTTTTAGTACATGTTTATAGCACATACTGATTACACTCTCTGTGAGGGACTGGTGTACGCACATTGTGCATCTCAATTCTTGGTTCTTCTCCTTCCCCCTTCCTCTGTCTCGATTCCCTTCTCGTTCGCAAAACATCTGTCTCATAGCTTCCTATTATTAATCATTTATTTTGCTTTCTGTTTATATTTATATTTTCATATAATGGAATTGTGATACGTGTAATTTTTTTATTTTCCACTTAGCATCATGTTTCTTGATTTTTATCGCTGTGTGCAATATTCACAGTGAATAAATACTTTTATTTCCCTATTTGGTGTTGGAACAGAAATGAGAATTCCTAACATTTGGTCAGTGGAAAATGAGGATGAAATGAACATTCTTGTATAGCTATTCTGGTACAATGGGGAGGAAAAACTTTTTTACCCTGTTGAGTTCTTAAGAGTTAAACTGAAAACAGACAAATTAATGAGAGAAAGTAGAGAGTGTTTTATGTTACTATCTTTACTTGTATATGAAAGCCTTCATGTGTAAGGAAAGAGTAAGACCAAGTGAGTGGTAAACTGTAGAAGGTGGGGGTTATTTCAGTTGACTTTGTGCTGAACCCACTCAGTGCTGGTTCTCCCTTCTCTGGGTTAAGAAAATGTTCTCAGACAGGGCATGGTGGTGCATGCCTATAATCCCAGAGCTTGGGAGGCTGAAAACAGAAGGATCGCTATGGGTCTGATTTATGTAGTGAGATCCTGTAGATCCTGTCCTAATACATTAAAAAAAAAAAAAAAAAAAAAAAAGGAAAGAAAAGTGTTCTCTTCTGGTACAGGGAGGAATTTTCTCCTGAAGAATTTACATTCTGCTTCTAGTTGAAAAGGGGCAGAGTCCTTTCTGCTTGTTTTTTCTCAATTGTCTTCTCTTCAAAAGAATCACTAAGCCAAAGTAACTTGTTGTGATGCCCTTAAGGCGCTCCTAGATCCTCCCATCACCAGGGCACACAAGTAGAAGTGGAAAGCATAGGTTATAGAGTTCATTGATCCTTAATTTTACCAGATAATGCCGCCTGCTTTTCAAACAATTGGTACCAGCTTACATTTCCATCAGTCATACCTGGTCCTAACACACCTACCATTAAGTTTTCCAAAATTCAGCCTTCTGATGGGTGTGCACTAGTAAATCTTGTGGTTTGTGTTGCATTTCTATGACACCTAATGAGGTTGACCTCTTCACATTATTTTTTTTTTCTTTTTGGCAGTGCTTAAGGTCAAACTCAGGACCTCACGCATGCTAGGCAAGGGCTTTACCACCGAGCTATCCCCACCGCCCACCCTCATCATATTAGCCATTTTGGTGTTTCATTCTTTGAAAAAAGCTTCAGTTTCTGGCCTGTTTTTCTGTTGCATTGTTGTCTTTTGTTCATTGATCTATAGGCTTTTTATTATAGTTGCTAAACCTTTGATCATACAGGTTGCACATATCTTCCTCCTC